CCCCTTTTCCAGCCTCCTCCCTTCCCTACTACTGATGAGCCAAAAGTAAGACTCTAGGAACATACGCCATTGTAGCAAGAACGAATTGTAGATAAGGGCGGGAACATAATCTTGTTTACCTTAATGAACTGATCATGTAAACAAAGTCAAAGGATAGGAAGTATAGCTGAGCCACACTGTAAGAAGTGATGAGTAACCCTCGGAAATTTCCAAGCTGCAGAACAAGGCAGAGACATTGTATTTAAAGCTGCACCAGAGCACAGAAATTTGGACTCACTGATGGCCTTTGGGTACCGGCGCCTCAGAAGCTGAGACAGCCTCCCACTTCATCCGCAGCTGAAACGGCATTCACCGGCTAGCAGAAAGGATGTAAGAATGCCACTTCTCCTATCATGCTGTTCTTTTAGTTAAGGGACACAGCTGATAGCTGTCAGAAAATCAATTGCTTGTGATTGACAGATACCTGCGTAACATATCTTTGTACTTTGAGCACCCAGTGCTGGACCTGAGACTTACTCTTGCTGGCAACATCAGGGCAGAGTATGTGAAGGAGCCAGGATTACGGGGTGAAAGGAAGGGGTCAGGGCAGAGGGTTGAGAGAGTGTGGGGTGTTAAGGGCAGGGGAATGTGGGGTCCAGGAGTTGGGGCAGAACGCTGCTCGCTCTTCCCTTTATCGGGAAGCAAGAGGAAAGCACACAGCATGGCTCGCTCACTCTGCACCTCTCCTTCCTAGTCAGAAATGAGAGGAATTCACACACACTGTGTACTTTTCTCTTGATCCCTGAGCCACAGGAAGAGGAAAAACAGTATCCTGGTAGGGTCCGGGGGGATGCTTCAGTTCCCATTGTTCTCCCTAGATGGTTCCAGATTTGGGGGGAGGGGAGGAATAAGGACTAGGGCAGGTCCCAGAATGGTGGGAGAAGGCATGTTCCCAAACCAGCCCCTTTCACCTGAATAGCTGCCTGCTGCTTAGCTCATTAGACTGCAGGAGAGGCCTGCCAGTCAGGCTGGGAGCGTGCTGCACCTCCTCTTGCAGCCAAGTGCCCCAACTCTATGAGCACCAGGGTGCACCACCTTAGTTTCATCTCTGGGTATACACAACATTTTCTAGAAAAGAACCAAAAATGCCACTAAACAGAGTAAAACAGGCAGTTAGGGACAACAGGCATAATTTAAAAACTGAGGAAAACAGAAAGAAGCGTAAGTGCTGGTAAGAGTTCCCAGACTGACGAAAAGCTCTATGTAGCTCAAAAGCTTGTCTCTCTCCGCAGCAGAAGCCGGTTCAATAGAAGACATACCTTGTTCCTCTTTAAAAAAAACAACAAACACCACCACATTTAAATTACCCCTTCACATAGCACACGAAGCAGGCATCACTCAATGAAATTAGTAAGCAGTAAGTTAAAAAACAAGTACTTCAGACACCTCAGAGTCCACCTGTGGAACTTTCTTCTAGGTGTTATCAAGGCAAAAATTAAAACTGGATTCAATGCAAGTTGAAGGAGGCCCATCAAAGACTATTAGCCCAGATGGACCCCTGCTCTGAGTGTTCTGAAACCTCTCACTACTAGAAGCTAGGACTGGATGCCTTGGAATGGATCACTCAAATTGCTCACTTGTGTTCATTCCCTCTAAAGCAACTGGCACCATCTACTGTCAGCAGACAGGATATGGGGCTAGATGGACCATTGGTCTGACCCAACATGTCCGTTCTTACATTTAAGTCTTAAATTTGTTCATTAAGACATGTCTGTTCTTACATTTAAGTCTTAAATTTGTTCATTAAGAAGGGGAACAAACTACCAGAACAGACACTATATTATACACTTGGGCTAAATTCCAACCGATTAAGAAATCTTAATACCAAGTCCTTTGAACCATCCCGTTTATATCACCCTTCAGGAAATCTAGTTTTTGGAATCAGCTACTTTCAAATCACTAGAAGGCTGGATGTCTTCTATTTAATTTCTATGGCACTCCCTCTTTTCCAAAGATTTTCGCTTCATAATGCAAATGTAATATGGTCAAAGAGTTTTGTTAAGTTTTTTAAATTATTCATCAGAAATGCTAAGGGTCTCATGCTTCTTCGAAGTGGCTACACTCACTTCTTGGTGGGAACACAAATCTTATGGCTTGCACCTAATTCCTTTATGGTGGTAGGAAGAGAGACATCTGATGTTAACCATATAAAAAGAGCAGAAAACGACCATCTTTTCTATACTGTAAATTGCTTTTACTAAATAAATCAAATAGCTCATGTATTTTTCATAACTTTATACACAAAATACATAGACGAATAAAGCTTTTAAATAGCAGTTTTACAGATTATGTCACCATAATCATTGTTTTGAATGTTCCTGGATATTCAATGTCAAGCTCACAAGTCTATATATTCTGAAGAACTGTTGAAATTATGCTAATATCCCCTTATGACACATTTTCACCTGTTTTACTCTGCAGTAGCTTTTCCCTTCAATTTAAAATATGTAATATAAATAGAACAAAATATATATAGTTTCTTACATCCTGTTGTCCTGCTTTCGGGACACGATCATGTATTTCTGCAGAAGTCTACACCAGAGGTTGCCAACCTTTTCACTAGTGCAGACCCCCAATCACCCTCCCAAAACGTTTGTGGATCCCCAATAACCTCCTCCCCCACAAAACTGTTTGCCGACCCCCAACAAAGCCAATTCTAGTAGTCAGTGCAGTATTTTCTCACTTTTTGTTTACTTATGTCTGTTGGATTAGACGTTCCACTTGTGGATGCTTCACTCTGCTCATCAGTCTCCTTTCTATTCAGCGAGCCAGATTTCAGCCACAGACCCATCTTGAATGTATGGCTAATGTTTGTATGCTTCTATCATGACCGTTTGGGCACACAAAGGTGTCACAACATAGATTTTCGAATGTCAATTAACATCATTGGAAGATATTTAATTTAAAAATAATAATTGATTGTAACTTTGCAATCTATTTAAAAATTATTTTCTATGATCATTTTTATTTTTAGTTTATTTTGTTTCACAGACCCCCTACAATACTCTTGCGGACCCCCAGGGGTCCACGGACCCCAGGTTGGGAACTACTGATCTATACTATAAGTGCTACTGCAGTGCAGCTGCACCAGTCAGCTGGTGAAAATGCTCTATGTTGAGGGGAGAGAACTCTCTCATCAACGTAATAAAATCACTTCTTTGAGGGAGGTGGTAGCATGTTAATGGGAGGGTTACATACTGCTGTACACAGCAGTGCGTAGGTTGGTGTAACTTAAGATGGCAGTCATGGAGGTAGCTTATACATATCCTTGAGCAGCGAAAACTATACCAACATAAATGGTACTGTGTACAAGCCCTTAGTAACTAACAATTAAGATGAATAACAAAGATCTACTTACGTGCTATCCTTGGTGAGTACTTGACATATTTAATTTGGGAAAGGATAATTTATTTAAATTTGTGCAGCTCCAAAACTGATGTGATGCAAACAAATACTCAGAACAACATATTTTCAGGATCTGTCATAAAACAGTTGTAGTATTTAACTACAGGCAGTCCCCGGGTTACGTACAAGATAGGGACCATAGGTTTGTTCTTAAGTTGAATTTGTATGTAAGTCGGAACTGGTACATATTGTAGGGGAAACTCTAGCCAAACATTTCTCCAGAGCTCAGTTTTATTCTCCCACACCTCACTTCCCTCAGTCCTTTATTCTCAAGCTGAGGTGTCTGCTGAGAAAAGCCATTCTGCGTCTCCCTAGTCTGCTGGGTGGGGCGCCAGCTTCGCGTCTCCCTGGTCTGCTAGGGGGAAAAGCAACTAGTGCGGGGTTGCCTCACCCCGTTTGTAAGTAGGGATCTGATGTAAGTCGGATCCATGTAACCCGGGGACTGCCTGTACTTGATTTAAAAGTTTCAGTTCCATCCCTGTGTTTTTTCCAGCAGCCCAGGGACACCCAAGCAAAGCCGCCGCCTGGGCGGCTTTGCTCCTGTCCCCCTGGTCTGCTGGGGGGGTCCAGCGGCTTTGCTGGACCACCCCAGCAGACCAGGGAGACCAGGAGAAGCTTTTCTCGCCCCGGAGGACACGGGCGGCAACTTGCCGCCCCTGAGCTCCGGGGCGAGAAAAGCCCCGTTCTTAAGTGCGGATCCGACGTAAGTCGGGGACTGCCTGTATTACATTTTTCTATTGAATACTGGACAGTAGGTACCAATTCAATTCGAGTCCCTCTTTTAGGGGGAGGGGTCATTAATATTAAGCTTCTTGAATGCTTTAATATTTTTCTGGACTTTAATAGAAAATATCCTATCATCATTACCATTTATTATTTAGCACTTAGTTCAATTACCTGAACACACACACATTTAATTAAATCAAACAAGTGACATAAGTTCAAACTGTGTCATATGATTGATGAAGTCTAAATCAGTAATTGCAGTGGATGGTCAAACAGTTCCTACTACTTTGCTTGACCACCAATATCAGATTTTTAACTGAGTTTAATCTGAGTTCACAAACCCAGGCATTTAGTTATTAGCAAATATGAGGTTGTGAAGAAGGCAGCAGCAACGTGGTTACATTTTGAAATAAGCTTCTTTAACATTTACCAATTTCCAATAAAATATTACTTTAATCTCTTAAGAAATCCTTTTATATCCCTTATTTTTCATCACAGCAGAAACCCAGTCATAGGATCTCATTCAATGATTAATTATGCTTATTTCAAGTACCACAAAACAGAGTTGCAGAAACCTGGGCCAGGATTGCTACACATTACAAAATGTTAGGATGTTATGCTTTTTCACAAGCCAAATATGTGAAAGGACCCAACACCAGCCAATATTTTTATATATATTGGTTACTTCAAGCTATAAAATATTATCTCCACCTCTTCTAGAAATCTGTGAAATGAAGTGGCAAACATTCTCTTCAAAAGTGAATTTTAGAATCAGTATTAGAGTTAAGTTTCTAAATGATAATCAGCTGCATAAATATAAAAACACATGATCAAGCAAAATATTTTTAATTAGTAAGCTGATCATAAATAAATCCATGTAAAAGAATTAACAGGATTACAAAGTTGTTTTTTTCCTATGTGATTCAAGATTTCTTAACATATGTATTATTTATCAAGTCAACCTCATTTTAACTGGGCAAGTGATCTATTATTGAACACACAACACTGCTGCACATTGAGCAATTCATTGTGTAGTTACATTTTTACATTTTCTTTACAAATGTAATACTTATGTACATTATATATTTCATTTCTATAATTTGTGTACTGTACTGAAATTCTATAGTCTTCACAGGGAAAATGTTGAAGTCTTTTAGTGAATATGAATAATTCCTTTTAAAAAGTAATATAAACAAACCCCAGATAGCACTGCCATTGGCACCTCTGCAAGAGTTTGAATCCAGAAAGGTTATCATAATAAATGTAAGAAAAAGGTTTTATCTAATTTTACATATCATTAAGAAATATCATCCCACATAGCTACACAAATTCAACAGCTTGCAACAAACAGAGCACCATACTGCTGCACTACTGGAAACATGTATAAACCAGTTTAAAATGCATTAGTGAAAGACCATCATTTCTCCTATCATATTCTGGCTGAAGCAAATCCATAAAATTTCTCCGGACGTGTGTATTTTTCCTTTAGCTCTAAAGTGTCTGATACGGTGCTGTGTACTGTACTGTGAAGAGCAAATGCATGTTTTTGTAATTTGCTATAATGCTTTTCTCACAGCTAACATTTGTATCCAAAGTTGGAAATCTTCTTTCTTCTACTTTCACTTACAAATCTGCTGTTGAATATGAACTAAGAATTCATAATAAGAGAATGCTGCTTCTGTTCGGTCTTCAATTAAGTGATGGAAAAAATCTGTTTTGGCAGGACTCTCATCTCTGAAACAGAAGAAAATGTATTCGTCAAAGCACTAAGCACAAAGAAAAACAATTGTGAAGACAAGTATAAGCAGGAAGTCCATACACTGAATATTACTCTTGGAGATTTAGGGTTCAGCAACAAATGCCAGTAAGTAAAAGTAATTAGGAATTTTCTATTGAATGATTTTCTGATGCAAAATGCCCTTTTTGGAAAAAAAAATATTTTGAGGAAATTTCAGTTTTGACAAAGTGACAGTTCCTGCTTGTCCTGCTGGAAGACTGCGCACCCAAACTCTCCACCTTCCCTCCAAATCAGGAGAGTTAGACGCAGAGAATCAGAGCATTCTCTCTTCCCATCACCTTGCACCAGAGAGACTGAACAGCCCCATTCCATTCTTCTTCTAGAGAAAGAGGAGTGGTGGGGAAAGAGGATGCTGTGTAGCCAGGTTTTTTCCCTCTCTGGCTGCCAGAGCTTAGGGGTAACTGAGGGCATGTCTATACAGCAACTAGACACCCTTGGCTGGTCTGTGCCAACTGTTTCCGGCTCATGAACTGGGGGGCAGTTTCATTGCTGTGTAGACTTTTGAGGTTGGCCTGGAGGCCAGGTTCTAGGACCCTGCAAGGGGGGAGGGTTAGAAAGCTCCCAAGCTCAGAAGTCTACACAGCAACAAATAGCCCCACAGTATGAGCCTTAGAAGTCAGAGTTAGCTGGCCCTCTGTGTAGATCGGGGTGGGGAATCTTTTTTGGGTCAGGGGTCACTGACCCACAGAAAAAAAAAAATCAGTCGGGGCCACAAAAAAACCTGCCCTCACTGATGTGGCCCCCTGACTGAGAAGGAGAAAGATACTCCCCACATTCCCCTCACATACCAGAGCCTGGGGGGCCCAGGCTAGTAGATGTTATGTGCTCCAGCCACACAGGGGGACTGTTGAGCCAGCATGTGCTCCCCAATGCTGGGGGGGCAGCCCTGAGCCAGTCCCAGGCCTGAGGTTCCCCACCCTTGGTGTAGATATACCCTGAGAAGTCCAGCTCTCTCTCCCATCAGCCAGGATGAAAGCTCTTGTCAATTTCACTTCTTGCTGGTACTGAAAGTTTCTGGTTTGCTGACCAAAATACTTTTTCTTTTGAAATCCTTTCCTGAGAAAAAGTGTCTTGTTTTGACTTCATAGTTCTGGACAAAAATGTCAAGGTTTTTTTCCACAGTAAAGGATTTTCATTTTCTGGACAAGTCTTTTAATAAGGATATCAGTTTTCCACAGTAAAAAAACAACCACCATTCTTCCTGTTATAAAAACAGGAGCTCTACAATCTTGGTTAAAAATATGATGTGGTAAACTTGGAAGAGGAACACACACAAAAAAGCTTTATAAAAACAAAGAATAGGAAACAGGAAAAAAAGAATTGTTACGGAAGCAGGTGACATGATTCTGTTGACAGCAATGAACTCTGAGCTAGCCAACATTTTAACTTTTTATATATTTTCAAGATTAGTCACTGCTGATGTATAATCCTCTGCTTTTTTCCCTTCTACAGGTGGAAGAGAGAAAGGAGAACAAAAGTGGTAATAAGGTACCAATCCAGAAAACTTTTTCAAATGTGCTTAACTTTAAGCATATCAACAACTACAGATGTAAAACCCCGGTTAATCCACTTAATCAGTTAAATCTTGGGTTTAGCCGTTTAAGTGGGATCCCGCTCCACCTGTCCCTGCACAGAGGATTGGGCTCCCAGGTACCAGTTAACCGGTAACCGATAAGCAACACCTGGTAAGAGTGATGCTTACCAGGTTACTGGTCACCTGTTCACATCCCTATCAACATCATCCTTGAAACTACTGCAAGCTAAAAGCTAAGCAAAATTTTGTGCAGGATCACAGTCAGACTACAAATTCACTGGGGCACAAGTTGTCTCCTGTTATTTGTATAGCACCTTCTGTAATTATGCCCCAGTCCTTAATGAGACCTTACGATGCTCCTGTAATCCAAACAGCAGCGCTAGGCTAAGAATTCAATATGTAATTTCAGTCCTATTTTTGAATTTCTTGTTTTTTATTTATTTGAGCGATAAAGAATTTCTAGATGAATCAACTAAAATTACTGACAATCATTTTACAGGTTTGGGTGTATTCATTTTTAAAGGTATAAAATATTTACCACAGATACACATATTTCAGCCTCACTGAACCAACAACATCTGAAAAGTAAGAAGTCATAAGGGAAATGTTGATACAGTCTTTACTACAAGACTGTTGAGCCAGTGGTGACAATCTGATTTACCTGAACCTTTTGCCCATATATAAAATAACACCAATATTTCCTTCATGGAAAACAGCTATCAGCCAGCTAACATTCAATTTCTCTTAATCTGTCAAACATGGTGTATTAAAAATTTTGACTGGATACAAGCGTAAGCATTTTATGAGGTCCTGTTTTTTTAAGTAAGCACAGCTTGAAAACGAACAAGGAGTTAAGTACAGTAGTTCAATAGTATATATAATACTCTGACAAATTAGAGTATAGGTCACATTTTATATTAAGGGTCCCTTTATGAATATAAACAACATTAAATAGATTCCCGCAGCTCTCACTGGCCAGGAACGGCAAGCCACAGCCAACAGAAGTGGCAAGTGGCCGAATGCTAAGGTAAACAAAAGCATCTGGTGGCCACTCTTGTTGAGATGGCAATAGACATGTAAAGATGTTACAGATTGTTATAAACCATGGTTACAAGCTATTTACTGACCTAACTAAATCTGTAACAAATGAATAACAAAATTATTAACATATCTATTAGTAATCACTAACTCTATAAACCATTTATAAATGGAGAATTAATACAAAGTGAGATTGGAAGCTGATTCAGTTATTTAATTTATCATGAAGCACATTATTTAGTATACTCATAATAGTAAAATGTATTACTGTCTAAACGTTGACTGGGTACTCTAAATTAAAATGAACTTAAACATTTTCTAAGACAATTGTTGCAACTGAGCCTAATCCTATGAGGTGCTCAGCATCTCCAGTGCTGTGCTGCGCACCTTTGTTTTCTTCTTATTTCAATTATAAGTTAAACACACTCAGTAGCTCTCAGAGTCATGATAATTTTGTTCCCCAGAGAGGTCTAAAAGATGAGATTACAGAAAGTTTAACTGTAAAAATACTTACTTTATTACTTGAAGAACTGGGCTTAAAGGTCTACTGTCTCTAAGCCAGGATATAAAAGATCGGGCTCTCTCTGAAGAAAGTGTATCTAACTCTGGCAGTTGAGTCTGGTTGAAGAATGTAATTAGAAAAATAAAGTTTTATAATGAAAAGAACTGGAGCCTAATTAATTAAAATGAATCAATGAAATAAATCAATGGTAGGCTGGAACAATTTCTCTAAATATAGTCCCACGGGAAACTCCCCAACCTAGCATAATTGACAAATTACACAGCCATTTTTATCCATTACATTTCTGGGTAATGAGTGGGGAGTGTACTCCCCCCCCAAGAAAATAATTTACTATGAATTGTATTCCTTCAACTTATCAAAGAGAAAATGCATAAACGCAAGAATGTCATAACTGTTCTCCTTAAAATTAATCACTATATTTAAAATACAAGACATTTTAGGAAACAAGCCTACACAAAATCTCAGTATGTATTCACATTTTACGTCCTTCTCCCCTCCAAATTTATTATTTTAACTTGTTTCCCACTCAAGTTCCTAAGCATTGTCCTCTGCATTCCTTTTACAGTTCTAAAGAGACCCACATACATACAAGCACCATAAACAAGCTCTGAACAGAAACACACAGCATCTAACACAGTTTCTTAAACTGTGTTCTATGGTTCATGGTGTGCCGCGACGCAGTCGGAGGTGTGCCACAGAGAACAACAGAGTTTAAAATGGCCACCCTTAAAAGGACAGGCGACTTCTTTTCCCGTGCTCAATAACTTCTCCCCCCCCATCTTACCCCCCCCCCCCCCCGCATCTTTTATTAATCAAAGTTTTTAATTTTTTTTTTATTTTTTTTTTTTTTTTTTTAAAAAAAAAAAATGGTTTGGTGTTCCTCCATCTTAAAAAAGTTTAAGACACACTGATCTAACATATTTGGTTCTACCCAAATCAAAATTCTGCTCAGAATTTTGAACAGTATCTTAATAAGGTTCCTCTATCATTGAAACAAACATCTGTTCTGACTTTTTGGAAGTGAAATCTTAGTGCTGTCTGATTTGAATACATTTGGAGGACATTTTTAAAAGCACCTCAGAGAGCCTAAAGTCCCAGTGACTTTTAACAGTTGATTTTCCTGTTAAAATGTATCAAAGCTAGAATAACTCAGTAAATCAAGTTTAAACTCAATCCTCAATTCATCGCATTAACTACTGTACTGTAGATATTGCAAACTACACAAAGTTCAGAAAATACCAACTCTCCACACACAATCATCTCCGGAGGGTAAATTATGAATGGAAGAGTTCTAATATTAATTCTGGATTCCTTCATTTTTGACAGCCAAGTCAGAATCTGGATTATTTTATAATAATCTTGGTTATTTTAACCTGCTTATGCAAATCCTTTGGTAATTTTGTTTTTAGTGCTCTAGTTAAACAATTTTATAGTGCTTATGTTCAAAAGACTTAAAACGGTCTGATTCTCAATGCTTGCAAAGCTAATACATGGGTATTTGCATTATGAATGTAATAAAATAAATCTAATTCAGTTTCATAATTTGAGACAGCCAATACAAGGGAGAACATATGTATTACATGTCTTAGTTTATTAAAACACTTACCAGCTTCTGTGGTACTGATGCATAGTTAGGGTATCCAAGCACATCTTTTATGAAGCTATTATCACAGTTTTTCCCAATCCAAATGTAAAATATCTGTAAAGGACCAAAATCTATTTCAGTGAAGAAAATGCTTTGCATATCTTTCAGAGTATTAGTTTTCATGTTTCATTTATTTTGCAGGTTTAGAAATTAGATGAAATAATGTTTTAGTGATTTTGACTTGTTTTGAGGTTAAAATATTTAGAATGCTATTTTTTTGGTTTAATGCTAGGTTTCATGTAAAATCTGATAACTTTTTACAGATTTGATAATTCTCCCAAGAAGTTAAAGTTACCAGAATAGATTTCTCTTTCAAATGAGCTAAAATGCAGTAATAGGAGCAATTTCAATCAATGTTCTCCTAATGACAATGTTTCACATGGTTGCCTTATTAATCAACTGGCACCATCTACAGTTATATTAGTAAACAGCATGTACAAAACTATGCTAAGTATATGCAGCTATACGAAGCACAACACTATCCACAGCCTTACAAACAACTCTAACATTATAATCAAAGAGGCTGACAAAGGGGCTGCTGTAGTCATTATGAATAGGTCAGATTATGAACAGGAAGTTGCCAGATGACTCACCAAAACCACATTCTACCGGCCTCTTTACTCTGACCCCATTGAGGAATACCAAAAGAAACTTGTACCAAGTGCTCAAGAAACTCCCTGCTATAGCTCAGGACCAAATCTACACAACGTCCTCCCTCACCCCCCCAAACAGGAGTATTCTGCTACCCAAGATCCATAAACCTGGAAATCCCATCATCTCGGGCATTGGCACCCTTACAGCACGATCCTCTAGCTATGTTGATGCTCTCCTCAGACCCTATGCTACCAGCACTCCTACCTATCTTTGAGACACCACGGACTCAAAAGCAAATACATATCTATACAAGAGACACCAAAGGACCTAACCACATAAGCCACAACACTGGAGATCATACAAGTACACACACATCTTCTAATATGATATATGCCATCAAGTGCCAGCAGAGTCTGTCTGCCTCATGTATATTGGCCAAACTGGACAGTCTCTATGACAAAGAATAAATGGAAACAAATCAGATGTCAGAAATGGTAACACACAAACCTGTAGGGTAACATTTTAACCTGCTTGGTCACTCAATCATGGATTTAAAAAGTAGCCATTCTTCTACAAAGGAATTTCACCAGCGCGCGCGCGTGCATGCGTGTGTGTGTGACCGAGAGACCGAGACCAACTGGTATTCAGCTACAAATTTGACACTATTTACCTAGGGTTGAACAAAGACATTACCTGGATGTCACATTATAAAGCCAGTCTCTCCTGCTTCTAACTGCATTTTTACATCAAAAGCTATGAATGGAATACTTCTAGCCCCATGGTCACCAACCAGTAGATCGTGATCTACCGGTAGATCTCAGGGGCTCCAAGAGTAGCTCTTGAGCCCTCTCTGAACTGCGCACCTGCGCAGTACATTTACATTAGATTTCCTCATGTAATGTAGGCGGGGCTTCAAGGAAGGGGCAGGGCAGTAGATCTTCACCTGTTCTGAGACTTAAAAAGTGATCTTGGGTGTAAAAAGGTTGGAGACCACTGTTCTAGCCCATCTAATTAGTCTCATTAGCACTAGTCCTACAATTGACAGGTACTTCTCCCCCTCCCCCTTTCCCCTCTGTTATAAAAGTCTTGGTTCTATTATTTCCACTCAAGTTGATCTGATGAAGTGGGCTTTACCCATGAAAGCTCAAGATACTATATATTTTTGTTAGTCTCTAAGGTGCAACTCATTCCTTGAGGACAATAGATGTGCCAGGAAAATGCTACTTCACTAGCCATGCTCAACCCCTTATATATATAGGGTTCAAATATCTTTTTCCAGATAACACAACTAAAATATACTATGTGGGAGAAAGTATTCTTATGGTACGTTAGTAGAAATCTGTTTCCTTCAATCGTGTGTGTAGCCCAGCTTTCAATGATGCAAGTATGAGAAAAATGCTTTGCTAGATTTGAACTGAATGCAATAGGGTTCCAAACAACCTAATTAAAGGAACAATTAAAGAAAGCCTTAAGTTTCGGGAAGGAGCATTTAAACCAGGGCTACTCAATTTTGGAAGCCCTGGGGGCCACAATGATACTCACAGCACATGCCAAGGGCTGCAACTTAAGTGTGGTTGCATATACATGTAAATATATGCAAATAGCTTTCACACTGACAGGCATGAATACAAAGATTAAGCCTAAAGCTGGGCCCAAATATGGCCAGCGTGAGCCAGTCAGCACCTTTCAGGCTCTGCCCACAAGGCTAAGCAGCCAGCACAAGGCTAATGCCCCAGCGCTCCTGGCACCTCCTCCCTGGGGTGCAGAAACTCCGACACCCTATACCCATCTGTTCCAGGCAGCTCATCCACTTGTGTCTTTCAGTGCTCACCCCACCTGGGAGACACCTCGTTGTTGTGGAGCATGTTCCCAGTGGAGGCCATATTCAAAGGATCCCACCTGCGGGCTATCCCAAACTGCACCACAAGCCTCAAACAAATGGGCCGTGGGTCACGTGCAGCCCGTAGGCCATATATTGAGTAGCCCTGATTTAAACTAACACTGACTGGCATGCATGCAGTTTAATGTGAAAAAATAAGCTTTGAAACATTAATATCCATGTATGTTTTAAGAAATTTATCACAAAACTAGACATTTCAATACTTTATTAATACCAAGGATGTAAAAATCTGCAAAAAAAATGTAACCACTAAAAGTCCTTAAGCTTTATACTTAAGTACTCAAGTACTGCTGGTCCTGCTCCCAGAGGAGGAGGTTTTGCTGCAAGGCTCTGCAGCTAGCTCCTTGGAACTTGCCCACCGGACCCGGACCGTTAAGGTTGTGGTTTATCCATTAACCATTTACATCCCTAGTTAATACAGTGCATTCAAGGTTCTGAATTCTTCCACTTGGGACAGGAATTTAGAATTCTGGAAAAACTAAGGAGTCTATTCTCTACAAAATTTTGATACTATTAGTTAGCCACAATTAAAAACCTGAAGTCAAACACATCTGTCTTATTCATAGCCGATAAAAGCTACTGAAACAGGTAGCTTACTGATCCACAATCCATAAGGAAAGCTCCCTCTCTTGTCAGCTTCTCTGCAGACAACTTCTGAAGAGGAGGCTGTGGAACAACCCTGTCGTTAACATGTATTGCACCCTGTAATAAAGAAGATCAGAAAACAGGATATATAATTCAGCAGTGTTAAGTGTAACTCGTCTCTTTTCTGTTTTGTCAAAAACAGAAGAGAGACAAGTAGGCTTTGTACATAAGTAAATGAGAATTATAAGATACAGCCTTAAAAAAAGAAGAGCTAGTAGGGACTTTGGTATACACAATTATAATAAGCATCAAGAGAGATGATCCTTGAAACCCAAAGAAAATTTAAAATACTGGAAACACTGATCTATTGTATTCACAGTTGTAAAAGATCATAAACAGTATGGTGGCATTTTAAAAATTACACAGCGCTATTAATATTATAACCATGCAAGGAAAGATAATAGCGGAAACTAAATTTGATGCTTCAGGGCCAAATTTTGTTTTAGATATGCCTTTATCAATGGGCACAAGGACAATACATAATGTTTATATCATAAGCTGAACCTCTGCAAAGATTAGGAAAGGTTTTTTCCTCCAATTTACAAGCTGAACTGGATTTCTCAATGAGATATGCTGATATGCTTCCATTAACATTAATAGCTGCACATACAAATATGCTGACTATAGGTGTTTCAATGTCAGTAGCAAAAGAAAAAAATTGGCTTACTTAAAGAAACTGCCTTGCTCTATCGGATGTGTGAAATGTCAGACATCTAGGTAATACACCAGAGTAAACTTAGCTTCCTTATTATCATTAATTTAACTTTGAGATAGCACTAGTCAAAACAGCTTGCAAGAAATTTGTCAGCTGAACTATTCAGATTCAATGACCATTTAAAAGTAATCACTCTATATATTAAAAAAACAAACACTTTTCCTATGGGATGACAGAGTGATGTCAGCAACTCGTTCCTCCCCCCACCCCCAGCAACCAGAGGGAGAAAGCAGTGCCAGCCTCAGCCTGGCCCATCCAGCACTAGTCAAAACAGCTTGCAAGAAATTTGTCAGCTGAACTATTCAGATTCAATGACCATTTAAAAGTAATCACTCTATATATTAAAAAAACAAACACTTTTCCTATGGGATGACAGAGTGATGTCAGCAACTCGTTCCTCCCCCCACCCCCAGCAACCAGAGGGAGAAAGCAGTGCCAGCCTCAGCCTGGCCCATCCCCTGGGAGCTGCCTCCTCCCGCCCCACCCCCCAGAGGGGGGTTGGCGAGCATAGCAAGCAGGGGACACCACTCTCTAGTATTCTTTAAAATACTTAAAGGATACTCCCAAAAATTAACTTTCAAACTAGAATTAGGGCTGTAAATTCATAAATGACAAACTTTTACTGACTCCTAGCTTTTGCTGAAACAGACTAATATGGCTACCTCTCTGAAACTTTTACTGAGGTACTAGTTGTTAAAATAAAGACTTTATGGGTTTGCAAACATGGTTAACTTTGATCCTGACTAATGTCAATTCTACTAATTAAAAGCCCCTTTATTTTTTCCTGACTGTTAAAATATAAATGAACTATGGAGTTCGGAAGCAATCTTGTTATAAAATAGTTTTAAAAGAATCCCTCCCATTTCATACTCACATCACCAAGCCAGACATTCCAATATCCCATCTATTCCTTGCACAATGGAAAAGTATGTATTTACCATTACATTGTGCGCCAAATAACTTCATCCACTATGTATATGCAAATTAACTCCCCAGCATACCTACTTCATCCACACTTCCCACATGGTTTAAACAACTTCACATCTAGTAAGAAAACTAATGCAGTGGTCCCCAACCATTTGAGGCTGCCGGGCGCCAGGGGGCGTGGCCGTTCGCCCGACGGGCACCCGAGAGCGGGGACACTTGCACGCCCAGGGGCGGGGCCCCCTCCATAGCTGCATGCCCGGGGCCAGCTCCTCCCCGCCCCCAAGCGCTGCGCGCCCAGAGCGCGGGCGACCAATGCGCGGCGCTCCCAGGGCTGGCGCTCACCGTGCGCCATACGCCAGGGGCTGGCTCCGGCACCATGCATGCGCCACGTGCCCGGGGCCAGGCCAGCCCCGAGCACTTGGCGGGGGCACACAAATGCCCCTGCAGGTGCCATGGCGCCCGAGAGCACCGTGTTGGGGACCACTGACCTAATGGATATTATAAGCTCTTCTTTATATAAATTGGCAAAAATTGAGAGTACCGCAATCACTAAAAAGTACCTTTGGAGGTTATTCTTATCTATTTTATTTTACCATGGCAAAAATATCAGAAGTAAATATTTAAAATTACACCCAAAATTTTTAAAGGAGCTGCTTGTTCAACAGCAATAAGTTCAAACAGATATTTTGTTTTATTCAGAATTAAATTATTTATTTTACAAGAAATGGTTTTGTACTGTACCTCATCAGTCAATCTGTCTATCCTGTACAAGTTGGGATGTATCATTTTCATCAGATGACCAAGAGGCTGACTCTTTATCTGACACATGGCATATACACGATCATCCAAGCGTGTGCTTGTGCCTGTTCTAAATGCTTTCTGTAAGAAAGTATGCTGATTTTAGGCATCTTTTACATGTTTTTATGGCTTTTAAACAAATTAGAAGGTAAAATGTTAGTCTGGCACTGGCAAAAAACCCAAGCCTTTTATGAAGCTCACAGATATATAATTGGCAAACAATTTTTCAAAAGAAAAACACCTGGCATTAAAATACTCTAAAATATCCAACAAATCTAGTTTAACCAAAGCCAAATTTAATGCATCTTAAATCTAATCCATCTTTCCTCTGCTTAGGAGCAGGAGGACCTCCTAAAGGAAGACTGTTTTCCCCATTTAGCATATTATTACATTTTGGAGCCTCCATCATTTTCCTTACCTCTATCCTTGACTGCTATTTATAGTTTGTGGAACTTATTGCACAATGTGTCCATGAGGTTAAGATCTTAGCAGGAGTCAAAAAAGAAACACACACTTGGATAACAATACGATATCCAAATGTACAGTAGTAAAGATTAAAAAATAATCAAGAATTTAGAAAGGAATATGAATCTCATGTTTCTGGACACAAGTTAGGGGATTTGGAAGACTTTCAATAGGTTAATCCACAAACTGCCTTCTACATATTTCTTGTATCTTTCTTTGAAGTAGTAGATGTTGGCCACTGTTAGAGACAGGACATGGGACTACATGGACTGGTCTGATTCAGCAGAGCAATTGCTATGTTCATCAACCAAAAGTCTCTGCAACAAATGTAGTCAGGAACCCTACTGGATCTGTATCTTTCCCACTCCACCATGAATTTAAAGTACTTTAATTCTTTGGGTTTCTTGTTTCTAAAATATCTCCACTGTCCTTTCTGTACCCTACTCTGGGCTTCTAAAATATTTTTGTTAGTCTCCCCAACTGCTGTTACAAAAGACAACAGATGACACTGGTTTAAAAGTATGACTTGACAATGCTAAAAGGTCCATTTTTGCTGCTATTTGCTAAGTCTTCCAGAGTAGCTTTAATCACTGCCCTGCATTGGCTATCTGTGAGACTCCAAGAAGAGAAAAAGCTTCAAATCAGAGCTTGGAAGAAATTCTCCTTTAATATTTAATTTTAAGGAGTGACCTTTGGTTCAAAAAATGTTGTACAGAAAATGCAAGCTTTAGATATGAACATCTCTCATCTTAAGCCAAGATCTGTTGTTGAGATCAGAGCCTAAGGAAATTAAACAAAGTTAAAGGAAAATTTTCCTTTTTTTTTTTTTAAATGAAAAACTTGCAAAGTAAACACTTCAAAGTGTCTGTAAACCTAGTGCCACATTAAGGATTTATTTGCAGTGAAACCTTGATTATCAACTACATATTCTTAACTTTCAGCTTCAGTTTCTCATTTAATCAAACTCCAGACTGACATCTTATGTTACTCATTTCTCTTTAGAGTTCTTAGGTATTGGTAACACATGTTTGAGAAAATTTAGTTCATTTGCTTCACCTACATGATAGAAATTGAGAAAAGAAATAAATGGCTTTAGCCATAATTTCAAGCAACACTGACTCAATTCATTAACTTTCCTAAAATTTTGGTTACAATACAGCTTTTCTAACTTTTGAAATGAAAGTACAAACAAAATTGATACGAAGTACTGATTTTCAGAAAAGGGTGAACTGAAAGTTTTAGTAAGGCACCGATAACATATCATTAGTTAATTTTTTCATGCAAATGAACTCTTCAACAAATAGGTACATGGATACTTTCCCCCCAAAATAAAATGGCTCTCACACAATTTAACGAAAGAGTATACAGAGGGGGAAAGGACAGACTCTGAATCTTAATATTTACAGCCTGCCTTAAAGCCAAAGATTTAAAGAAAAACACTGCTTTGTATTAGGGATGTTACATTTAGTTTAATCAACTAGTCGATGGATTTTTCATCAACTAGTTGATTAGCCAATAAGTGGGAGAGCCACAGCAGGGTTAGACTACTGTGCACCAGCCTTTTAAATGCATTAAGAGCCAGTTCTTAGGACATTTAAAAAGTAGAGTTACAGTGTCTGGGACTGGGAGGGGTGGGGGTTGAAGAACCCGGGTTTTAAGCTGGCTCCCCCAGTACTGGCTCTTGCTCCACCCCCATTACTGCCTCTGACAGGGACTAGTCGACTATCTGATAAGCTTTGGCTTGTTGGATAGTCGACTAGTTGCTTACATCCCTACTTTGTATCTGATGTCCAACATGAGCAATACTATATTAAAAAGTACCTGTTTGAGAAGAGCCAAAACATATAAAGGAAACAGCTTGAGGGAATTTGGTGCTATCAGTGTGGATTGCTGCAGGTTTGAGGCAGATGAGATATATGCTGACAATGAGTCTACCACAGCATTCACTAAGGCATCTCTTGCATCTGAAAGACTTGATGAAACTGACCGATCTACAGCTGCAAAATTAAAAGTAAACAAAAGCTTTAATTGCTGAATCTTATTAAAAGCTGTTGTGAGGAGCACAGAAAAAAATCACGTATAAGTCAAAGAATCAGAAGTTATTTTATTTTATTTTATTTTAAGTTATCAGATGTACTAAAGGTATTTTATTATTTTAAAAAATATGGTGATCATTTTTTAAATGGAGCAAATAAATTGCAGCTTCTGGAAGGGGAAAAAAACCACTTTAAGACAAAAAAGCTGTCCAGTGCAGCTACTGCCTTTGTTTGCTAGGTCCTTGTTCCTTGAGATCTAGGATACTAGGAAAATAGAGAATAATTAAGAACATACTATTTAGGGCTAAGAAAAAACACAGAATCAGAAGCATTCAATAGAAACAAAGACCATAACTATGACAATGACAAGGAATTGAGAAATAGTTTATGGTCATTGCTTTGGGGTGAAAGAAAAAATGAAGTCTATCAAAAACAAATAGACATGGTATGACAATTGTTTTCTAATAAACAGTACATACAATAAGTCTCATGGTTTGGAAAACTGCTATCACAGGTCTAATTCCACTTTAAAAACTGACTAATTCCAACTTCAGTAGAGGCTTCTCCCTTGAACTTCTGCAGTTGGAACCAAATGTCTTTGAATGAGAAATGTTCATCTTTTGAGCTTACTTTTAAAGGCTACCTGCACTTCAAACGCTTCTCAATAATACCATTTACTGCATATTACAGGTCTCAATCCTTAGTGTCCTGTGGCACCTTACAGACTAACAGATGTATTGGAGCATAAGATTTCATGGGCAAAGACCCAGTACATCAAATGCATCTGACGTAGTGGGTCTTTGCCCACGAAAACTTATGCTCCAATATATCTATTAGTCTATAAGGTACCGCAGGACTCCTTGACGCTTTTGCAGATCTAGACTAACACAGCTATCCCTTTGATACTTCAATCCTTAGTGACATTCTGTACTTAAAAACCTGTAATAATTCTAAAAATAGATTTACACAATCAGAAAGTAATTGGGGTAGAGTGAACCTATAGGAATTTTAGGATCTTTTGGCTCAGAGCCCTTAGCCTCCTAAGGGCCTGTCTTTACCTAAAATGCTATAGCAACACAGTTGTGCCACAACAGTGCTTCAGTGTAGACCACTACCTACAACTGAAAGGATTTTCCCAGCATAGGTCATCCACCTTCCCAAGAGGCAGTAGCTATGTAGATGCAAGAATTTTCCATTGACTTAGCACTTGACTACACTTGGCTTAACTATGCTAGTTTGGTCTCACATCCCTGATCAATTGACCTAATTTTCTAGACCACGATTAAGGCTCCAAGTTTCACTCGTCCACTTAGTTTTGTAGGTCAAATCAAAACACAAACTGTTGGGGGGGAGGGGGTGTCTGCTTTTGTAGTAAGGGAAATGTTGTTCTGTTTTGTTGTAGCAGCTACAGTTAAACTTTTCCTTCATGTCAGGGTTGTAAATAAGTTTTGATTGTAGAAAGCTATCTACAACCCCCGAGTACCCTGCCCCAGCACCACCAGGACTCTGCCCCGTACCCCCACCAGCACAGTTGGGGCCACATTAGTGAGGCTTGGGCGGTTTTGGAGCGGTTGTGTTTTTGCATCTCACTTGTGTGGCCCTGACTGACTTTTCTGTGGGCCAGTGACCCCTGACTCAAAACAGGTTCCCTGCCCCTCGCAAAGTCAACGCTGAAACATTTTGTGTTTGACATAATATTTTATTTAAAATGAAGCCTGGCCAACAAACCCCCAATTGGGACCAAGCCCCCACCTGGCCGCAGCATAACAACACTCCTGCACCCCACTCAGACTCCAAACCTGAGTCTATCATACACGGGAACCCCCAGTCCTGAGCCTCTCATCCCCAAACTCCTGTACCCCCACATCCCCAGTCTTCTGCCACAACACTCCTGCACCATCCACACACTGCCAATCTGTATCCTGAGCCCATCATATTCCCAGCCTCCCCGCTCTGAGCCCCTCATGCACTCCAGCCCAAACTCCTGCACCCTCTCAACCACAAGCCTGCGGCTTGCTCAGCACCCTAATCCTCCACCTGACCCCAACACTCTCCAGCCTGGAGCTCCCTCCTTGAGCCAGCATCCTCTTCTCTACTTCCTCCTGCACCCAAATTCCCTCCTAGAGCTTGCGCCTCTCACCCCTTCCCAGTGCTTTTTTTGAGAGCCACCATAGCAGTGGAGACAGCGTGAACAGCTGGGGCAAAGTTGTTGTTGGGTGGGGAGAGGGTGGCAGGGCCACGAAGACCCAGGGAAAAGTTATTAAAAAAAGAAGCTAGCACCTATTCTCCCTCAGCGCAGCTTTTTTTGGGGGGGGAGGGGGGAAAGAGAGGAGAAGAGGGGGCAACAACTTTGCCCCAGCTCTTCACGTTGTCTCCATTGCTATTGTGGCTCTTCGTCTGGAACGGGTTGGCCACCCTTGCCCTACACAGAGCTGACTTTTGTGTATCATGAGGAAAAAGAGGGGATCCCGAAAAAAAGGGAGAGCAGAAGCACCAGGGACTGGAAGGATGAATGAAAGTCGGCAGAGCTGGGATATAGAAAGGGGTGGGGAGTGGTGCAGAACGCTGTCAGCATCCTTACAGTGTTCAGTGACTTTAACAGAATACCCACATTTTTGCTAATGAACAGAAGTGAAAAACTTTTCCCATTTACTTCAGTTGGAGTTGTGGGTATTCAGTACAGTAGACTTCCGCTAATCCGGAACCTATGGGACTTAGGTGGTGCCGGATTATCAGATATGCCGGACTACCAGGAGGTACTATAAGATGGTTTTATATATATACTGTATACATTATATACTGTATATAAAGTGCTCTTAACCCTTTTTATTATACATACTGTATACAGTATACTGTAATGTTTTAGGTTTTTTAAGCCTTTTTTACCCCTTTTTGCTCAGTTCAGCTGTTGCCACTGTTACCTTGTGACTCATTTTTTGCCAAAGCTCACTGACTAGGCTCTTGCCATTTTGATTCCGGACTATCAGGAGTGCTGGACTATTTGATGCCGGACTATTGGAATTTTAATGTACTTCTGAAAATCAGAGCATATCTTTTAATGTTAAGTATATTATAGCTATCATATGATAGTTCCATTATTTTAGTTACATAACGTGTTCTAGATTTAGCATCTGTTTCTTCATTTTGCAAGGGTGATGTTAGATTAATACTTCCTGGCTTACGTTCAACTTCATGTCATTTCTCCGTTTGTGTGTGATGTGATAGCTGTTAAACAACAGTATTTAGTTAATTCCAAAATGTCAGGGAATGTTCTAGACATCAGTGGGTAGACCCACATTGGTGAAAATTGGGGTTCTGTGGACCTCCTCCTCACATATTAGGGTTTGTATTCTCATTCCAGGAGTGGGGCTCTTGTACTCCCTATTGCACCATGCCAGGGTATTCCACTCTCCTGCCATGGCTGAGGCTCTGTATAATCCTCAATTTCCCGCTCTCTCACCCATTCACAACAAACAAGCCTCCTCCCTTCTCCTGCCAGAGGTTCTATGAGCCCCCACTATTCCCTCTATTCCTACATCAAGGTCTCCTGTTGCCACCATCTCTTGCCCCCCATCCACGCCAAAGGCCCTCTCTGTGCCCTCCCTCACCTGGTAACAAGATCCTCCCCAATTCCACTTCCCCATACCAGGGGATGTGTCTATACCCCTGCCATCCTGGCTTGTTCCTCCCCTCACTTATTATTTGGGATTAAGTCATTTAGGATGTCAACATGTTCAACTTTTGGAAATATGGACACAGACGGTATAAGACTAGTTTTATGCAGGAAGGAAGGTGTTAAGGCTACTAGCAACCAGCCCACACTAGGGGCTTCTGCAGCGCACTTTGATCTACAGACAATTGCAGACATTTATGAAGCTAAAGCTATGCTAAACAGATGTAAGGGCTCCATGTGTTCTCTTCTACTCCCAAAATCAACATGGCTCTGGCTACTGATGCCTAGAGCATTCCCTAAAATATTAGAGCTGATCAGATGTGCCATTCAAAAATTATTACATTATATATGAACATACACAAGTTGAGTATAAGGGGCCTTTGGCCAATTATGTATTTGATCACCTATTCCCATACTCACCCATGTTTGCTAAGAGGCAGACAGCTGCTTGTACATCTGCTCCTGCATACACATCAGCCAGTGAAGTGACTACAGGCAAGCAAAGCGTGTGCACTCGAATTCTCCGTTCACCTACACCAAAATAATGAATAAATAATGCAATATCCACTGATAGGAAGGAAATTGTTTATTGCATTTCTTCTCTCATCCTAGACTCCTTTGCTTCACCAGTGACATCAGTCCTGATACCCACGATTGTGGCCTTCTCCCATCTCCGTTTATGAAACCTCTGAAATGCTGTCCACTATACTCATGAAATCTAATCCTACCACACTTTTTACATTTAAATCCTCCCTAAAACTTACTTCCATAATGCAATGTCCAAGTTGAGTTAATAATTTATAAACCACAGTTATTCATAAGATACTAGATCTTCCAGAAGTGCCTAAGTATATTTCCAGTTCTGGAATCCAAGATGTCCGCAACACAAGCTTTTGGAACTTTCCAGAAAGGTATGCTCTTTAGGTCTTCACAAGCAGTTTACATTCACACCAGTCCTTTGAATCTCAGCAGTGGTAATATAGAAAGGCTCCTGAAAAGGAGATTTAGGACACACTCCAGAAGAAATAGTAACTTATTTTCTTTATACTGGTCTTTTCAACCCTAAAGTTGTGGTAGGGACTATATTTGGCCCAGATTATGCCATATATACTAAAAATTAGTACCTATTTTCACAAGAAGCTCAAGTGATTTTAATGGGACTATTCACTGAGTAAAGATGTCTGTATCTAGCCCTGGATGAATTGTACAATGGCAAGCACATTATTGGTGGTTAATATACAGTAATTCCTCATTTAACACAGTAGATACATTTCAGAAAATGATCATGCTAAATGAAAACATGTTACACGGGGTCAATTTTCCCATTGAAAATAATGGAAAAAGTGGGGTTGCGTTTGCGCTCATGGCTCCCGCCTGCACTTGTTAGCAGCTGGGACTGGGACATAAGGTTGGAGGAGAAAGGGGACTGGGTTATAGAAGGGAGGGGAGGTGTTTGGCTCTGGAGAAGGGAAGGGAAGGACAGGGGGGAGGGTTTCTCCAGCTGGCTGGTCACCAGCAGCTGCACGGGGCTTCCTCTGCCTCCTTTCTCAGCTGA